AGGGCAGAAGCAAAAGCTGAAGCAGAAGCAGAAGCACCAAGCAGAGGACAGTTTTAAGAATTGCAATAAAACATTTGCAACAATTTAGATGCCGTTAGCATTAAGCAGTAAGCAGTCAGCAGCCAGCAGTAAGCAGTTGCAGTGGCAGTTGCAGCTCTATATATACACATTTGATATCTACTTGGACATGCAGTTAGCCGAGTTTATGGCCAGGCCACATTAAGCGCCATTAATGGCCCACACATTTCCGCGTCCGTTGCTCAAATGCTGGCCAAGAGATTCGTGTTGTGATTTCCTCTAGACATTGTGTTAGCAAGATTTGGTTTCAGACATAAAGTGCAAATGCTTCCACATCGGTGGCAAAAAGAATGTAACGCGACCAAGTTGCCAATTAGTTCTTGGTGATAAAGCTATATAAATAGATCTACATTTGCTTTATATCTGTGTGCCTTTCTTTATTTATTCCATTTCCACTTGGTATGCATTCCAAATGACATTTCACATACATTTTTGAGAATAATTTTGATATTAAAGGGTTGTCAAGCAAAAGTGTCCAAAGAACAGTTTAATGCGTATTTTGCAACCCTGGAAAACAAATAACCCCGTCTTGAGGCTATTTACAACATACTTATTAATAAAATATGAGTTTATCATTCAGTCTGCCAGTCAGTTAATCATTTAGTCAGCTAGTCGAGCAAAATAGTTTTATTTATCGGAATAAGCCCAAACAAATCCCTTTAATGTCTAGCAACTGAAGCATTCGATTTGCAACTGAGAGAAAAGCATACGAGAGAAATTGATTCCTTTGCTTGTTGAACGCTCGCAACTATTGAATATCATTTACGTTCAATCAAGTGCAAAACTTGACGATAAACTTTGGCGAAAAGCAAACCAACAAATAAGTAGGGAAATTTCTAAAGCAAAAGTCGTTAGAGACATGCTCTAACTGATATTATTAAAACTATAGAGTAATGCTAAGATTAACATATTTTAAATATAGCCAGCGTTATGTAACTGAACAGCACATGCTCAACATTTTTCTACAACTTGACATATTTAATATTTTAAAATATGTTGGGCTATTTTATAAGTGAGAGTATTACATCTGGCACATAAACAGTCGAGGAGCGCGCAAAATTGTTAAAGAAAGCGTGCAAAAAATATGGCAGCTGCGATTTTGATGTGAAAACACACTTACACACACACACACAGACACAGGCACAGGCACACACGTGTATTGATATGCGTGCGTGCACACGCGAAAAAGTAGCGCATAAATTTTGCGATTCTTGAAAGGAGCGAGCGGAAGTGGAGATTCGGGCTTACGCGAGTGTGGCATGTGCAGCAAAGCGTAGCAACTAAAGATGGAACTGGGCAAATGGAACACTATTTATTTGGGCATACACACACACACACACACCAATACACACACTTGCTGAGACCCTGGAAACAGCTGTGACACATTTTATGTGAGCTAAGTAAGTGATAAAGTTCAACTTTGATTTTGCCACTCGCTCAGGCTTGACTCACATTTCTGCCGCACGCCCCGCACACACCAGCCCCATTGAGGTGCAGCCAACCCGATGTCACTTTTTATGGCAGTCCTTGTCATTGTTGCTGCCATTGTCAAGCGTTTTCGATTTGTAGCAATGCCCAAATACAGAATACAACACGCAAAAGCAAGTGACAAGGCGCAAAGCAAGGAATTTTATTTGTTACCCCCGCTCCAACAGCAGGAATAGCTGGAACAGAGCTGTCAGCAACTGGTAAATGCAGCTCATGAAAGCACCTTTGACGATATTCAAAATGTTTAAAGCTTAACAGCTGCTATTGATGTTATATAGGATATCTTCACTGGGATCTACGATATTCAATTATGTTCAATTACAGGACTTTATTCAAAATTAACAGAATATGTAAACATTTAACAGCTGCTATTTTTGTAATAAAAGAAAATCTTCATTTGGATTTGTAAAAGTCAGAAAGTACGCTGTAACTTGTAATCTAAATAGTCTTCGATCCTAAAAAATAAGTACAGAAATTATTGAACAAAACATTTTCTCATAATGTCATACATTTTGTATGCATGTATGGAGCTGAATGCAGGTTATTGTCCAGTCGGGAACTTTCTACCAGAACACTCGCAACTATTATTTTATTCAGCCTGGCGGCTTGATAAGTTTGTGGTGAATGCAATAAAATTGATCCCAGCTGAATGTCAACATTTTTGGGCTGTAAGCAACAAAGCTGCACGATATAATGCGAAAATAACTCATGCTATTTTAATATTTTACTCTACTGCTTTATTGATATTTGCTTGTGTTTTATGTATTTCGTTCCTTCCTGTTTTTATTTTTATTTTTCTTTTTTTTTTTTTAATTATTTCCTCATAAAAAGCAATAATAATTTGATTCGCTTTCATGTCAGAGCTCAATGGAGTTTCGCGGCATGTGGCATGTGGCATGCGGCAAAGAATCTGCTTCAAATAACATGCATCATGAAAATTTCATAACTTAAACGTCAACTTTCAATAAATATGGCAACAACAACAACAACAACAAATCGGATTACTGCTTTACCTACCATAAAAAAGTAATAAACATACATTAATACATATGCACATACTTTTGTATGCGCTCGTGTGTGTGCGTGTGTGTATGTAAAAGAAGAAAAAAATTGAATTTTGATGTAATAAAGTCAATGAAGAGAAAAATGTTGCGGGGATTTCAATATATAAAAAAAATATTTGTGCATATATGTGACAGGCGGCGGTATTGAAAAAGGCAAATATTGGAAACTGTGCAAATTGTGTAACAGTGAATGCGCAGCCAATGGGCGTGGCATAACAGTCATAAGCGACAGCTTACATTTAAATGCTGCTAATTACAGCAGGCAGCAGCATTTGCTGCCCAGTGCAATCCGTGTACTTTTCTGCTGTTCTTTAAAGTCTGTTAATCTCATAAATAATCACTGAAAAATTGGCTAAATTAAAGAATTTTTAAAGTTTTTTTTTTCAGTATATTGCATATTTAAATATGCGAAAATTTAACAACTTAACTGAATTAAATGGACTTTCGTGAAAAACCTTAATTTTGTAACACAAAACCCCGTTTAAATCTGTATTACAACACTGAGCTTCATTAAAAAAGTATGTTCCTAACATGATGTTAATTTGACTTTCTGCTACAGAACATTTATTTAGCATACTGTTAAATGGCAGCTGCTAATTAAACACTAAATATGTTAGCTGTCTGTAAATTTAATGCCTTATTTACATTCTGTTGATGCACTTTTATTCAGCATTCTGTTAAATTTAGCTGCTGGCGTCTTAACGCCAAATGTTAAAGCTAGCAGCTATGTAAACTGGCTGTTAATTAGCAGCATAATATAACAATTACGTATAATATATGCACAGCACTCCTTTTAACAAGTTTTAATTAAAATGTCGTCACATTGAATCACCAGATACAGGTCAGTTGACAATTAGGAATGTCTTGCCATAAATTTCATTACCCATTGGCTCAAACCATTGCCAACTAACACACACACACACACACAAACGGATCATATCGCACATACGCTACGTACGCCCAGATGCAGTCTCAGAATTGTCAACCTGCTAACTAAATGTGCATAATTCTGGCTAGATAAGAAGCCAACAAATGCAAATTATGAATCAGAATACGCATACACTCAAGAAGTGCCCAAATATATGTATGCGTATGTCATATATTATATGCATATAATTTTGTTAAACAGACATCTTTCTAGTCTACACATACAGATGCAGCTAATAAGCTGTTTGTGTGACCTATTTGATGGGCAGAGTTTGTCAATGTGCCACAGAAATTTACAAATCTTTTGCTTGGTCAACTTTTGCCTCCTACAGCTCTATTCAAAATTTATTTAATTAAAACAGCTCCGTAGTTGTTGTTGTTACTTCAACAATTATAACTGATTTATGTAATTTACTTGCCACTCGACCGTGTGTTTGTCTCGCTCTCTCCCATTCGTCTCTTATTCTTTCCCTCTCTGTTGTGCTTGCACTTGTCTGGGCTACAATTGTGTCTTACAGCAGTCACTTGCATGGAATTGTTGGCTTTGTTTAGTTGCTTATTAAATAATTCATGGCTCAGCTGACAGCTAAGAGACCTTAGAATGCTTTAATAAGAGTCCTAGCTTAAAATGATACATAAATAAATTTAAATAGAAGGCAAGACGTGACTGTAGAGGTATCTTATGCATTTTATCGTGCACTTCTGTTAAACTAACATGTGTATTAAAGTTATCAGGCACTTTACGCTTGTCTGTATCCGTTCAATAACTGTGACATTTCTGTTAAAAGATCTGTAACTATATTATGTTATGTAAATAGTCTTATGTTATTTCATTTTACAAACGTATTATCAGATAAAAGAGAATGAGCCATATATAAATATACACTCAAATACAATAACATTGAAAATTTTTTAGTACACACACATTTAACATTTATTTAACACACACACTCACATTAACAGCCACTAAATTTGTTATTTACTTAAAACCAATCCCCTAACTTTAATGCAATTGAAGTTGTCATCATAAACACATAAATTACATCATCACACACAGCAGCAGCAGCAGTAGTAGTATGAATTGGCGAGATGTAAACAAAAAGAAACCAAGACTATTTCAACTATTTAATATGCGAAACGCGTCGAGAGCTTTTACACACCCCTCAGAAGAGTCACAAATAAAACTGAAAAGCAAATGATTGTCGGTCGCGTCGAATGGAAGGCGTCAAATTGTTGTCGTCTCACAACTTTTTGCGTTTGGTGTAAAATTTCCATTCATTCGTGTCTGGTACGTGATAATTGCATACTTTTCGCAGACATTACATTTCCAAGTACCAAACCGCGCTCGAAATTTTTCGCTGCCTTAATAATTTAAAATTACGCAAGAATCTTCCTGAAAATAATGTTAAATTTCTATTCTTTCCCACAAAAAAAAAAAAACAGTCACCAAATTCATACGCATTGGCATTGCTGATAAGAACGATAATCCACCCTATTTCGACAAATCGCTCTACGAGGCGGAAGTGGACGAGAATGAGGATATACAGCACACAGTGCTTACAGTCACGGCCAAGGATCACGATGAATGTAAGTAGTATGCCAAGACACACAACATATTTTGCATAGAACACATTTTTTTTGGCTGACTAATACGAATTGCTAACAATTATTTTCCAGCCTCACGTATACGCTATGAAATCACCAGCGGCAACATTGGCGGCGCTTTTGCTGTTAAAAATATGACGGGTGCCATTTATGTGGCCGGCGCTTTGGACTACGAGACGCGACGCAGGGTAAGTTTAGCATACATATTTATGTGATATATATATATATAATTTTATATATACATTTATATTTGATATACGCAAGGGTTCAGTCAATTGTAAAATTTGTTTGTGTCGCATTAAATAAATTGAATTCCTACCGGGTTCTTGCCTCAGTGGATACACTTGTAAACACACACAAACTTTAATATGCATATAACAAGCATATCTGGCATACAAAGAAGACCAGTAGGACACTCAAGCTGATATATGCACATAACTTATTCATAAATTGTCTACAAATAAATCCGGTAGAAGACACAAGCTGCTATATACTGTTATATGCATATAACAGAAGCATAACTGGCATACAAATGCGTCAAAAAAAACACACACACAAACAGGTATATGTATTTATAATGGACATATCTGGTCCACAAAAGAAGGTCCAATAGAACACAAAAACTATTATATTCATGTAATTTAGGCATAACTGGGATACGCACAAACTGTTATATGCATATAACATTAGCATAACTGGCATATAAATAATTTATGTGCACTGAAAAATGAGACCACGAACAAATTTCATCGATTGGCAACAAACTCAGAATCAGGTTAATTGTATATTTAGCTTGTGCAATCAATTTAGCAATTCAATATGTAAGCAAGATCTGAACGACTATAAAATTCATTAAGAAACTGTGAAGCAAGTGCAATTCCCAATGAATTTCATTATGTGCAGCAGCTGCACCGCGAGGCTAGTTAAATATTTAAACAATTCAAACAAGTTTAGTTACACGCTGTGGTCAAAAGCGGAAAGGACAAAAAGCTCACGAAGTGTATAAGGCTTGATAGAATTGAAGAAAGTCAGGCGAAACATTAATTGAATTTCAATTTGAACAATTGGCCAATGTGCTGGCAAGTTTTGCCAGAAGTTTAATTGAATTGAAAGGCAGACGGAAAAGACCAAAAGAGAGAGAGTGAAAAGTAGGAATTTATACAATGCAGAACATACTTATAGAATGCAAATGAATATTTAATGCCGGCTCTGGCAACAAATTAAAATTAATTATTTAATAACGTTTAATTAACAAAATATTTGTCAAACAGTATGAGCTGCGTTTGGCTGCCTCCGATAATTTAAAGGAAAACTATACGACGGTCATCATTCATGTCAAGGATGTTAATGACAATCCGCCCGTGTTTGAGCGACCCACATATCGCACACAAATTACCGAAGAGGATGATCGCAATTTGCCCAAGCGTGTTTTGCAGGTCATTAAATAAAAAATAAAAAAAACAAATCGAACTTAGAGATTTGTCAATATTAGTTGACATTAGTTGTGATTGTCATGAGTTTGTTCTTTAGCTTTTCTTTTGTAGCGCTTTTTCAATATGTTACCCAATGCATATGTATATGAAGCATACGCCACGTTGTCCCCCTTCCCCTCAGCAATATTATTATGTTAGATTTTAATGCATGTCATGCGTTTTTTTTTCTTTGCCTGAAAAGTTTCCCTTTTTTTTTGGTTTAAATTGTTGCAATCAGTTAAATAAATAAACAAAAAGTCAACATCTTTTTATGACTGACAACGCAAATAAAGTAAATAAATATATTTGATTTAATGGCATTTCAATTAGGTCGACGCAAAGTAAACATTTATTTCAATTATCTACATTAAGTTAAGGCTTAAATACTTTACACACCATTAACACGTTTTTTTTATAGTTTTGTACGTTCACTTTTGGCATTAAAAATGTGTTTTTTAACGCACACTTTTGTCTAGTACTTTTTACGTTCAACTTTACGTATTTGCTTTGACGTGTTTTTCTTTGAAAAAAAAGGAAGCGATTTGCTGATGGCTTCTGCAAAAAATGATACAAAGAAATGTATTTTGCCATGCATAAATACATTTATTTATTTACAGTTCAAAAACTCAGACAAACTAAGAATAATATGTTGATAAATCATTAAGCACGCGCAGCTAATAATATAAAAAAAAAAGGTCAATATAAATAACTTAGTTTAAAAAATTATTAAACAAATATAAATGATTAAAGAGGCATGCAAACCTGATAAACGAACATGTCACGGATTAAAATAGACAGTGCGACACACACATGAAATTCGAAAAGAACAAAAAACCATATACATGATGTATAGAAAACCGTAGAAGGAACATTTGTAAATGGAATCGGAAATACATATATATTTTATTTAACATTCATTTTTTAGCAAGCATATAAATAGTTTATTCTCAATTTATTTTGTATTATTTATAACGTATTTTAAATTTATACTTGATTGTTATTTATATTTGTTTCTCCTTTTGGCTATTTATTTTTTTCCTTTTCTTATTTATGGCATTATTTGTTGTTAACGCACATGGACCCAATATTTGTTGTTGATGTTGTTGTTGGTTTTTATTTGGGTTTTACGTGTGCGTTAGTACGAGCTGAAATTGGTCGCCTCGGATAGTTTAAATGAAAATCAAACAACAATCGTTATAAGTGTTCGCGATGTCAACGATCTGCCGCCGGTTTTTCCACAAACTTTATATGAGCGCAGCCTCAACGAGGAAATGGCCACGCCCTTTACCATTATGCAGGTCGCTATTTCGTTTTCACAATTATCCTATACAAAAACATATAAATCTATGTATATAAACACACACAATATATCGTATCGTATGCTCCTTTAAATCGTATTGTAAATACCTTAAACATAAACTATATATAATGTACACTGAGCGAAAAGCGTATAAGCCGGTGAAAGATTTTATAACCATTTTGTTGTGATATAATATAATTAGTTAACCACAGAAAATAAAGGCACAGAGGGTTTAACAAATTTTGACATTTACTTATCTACTTAATTTAAGCATCGAAAGCTTGACTTTTTTCTCTCAGTGTACATGCTGCATAATAACATGTGTGTATAATTAAACAATTAATTTAACATGGCAACAACAAAAGCTCATCGAAATCATTTCGCCCTCTTATAAATTATATTAAAATAACAATAACACACACACATCCGTATAATAAAATTAATGAATAGCCTGTGCTGGTTGGTAAAAGGTGTATAATTTAATTTAACTTAAACTATGAAGAAACGAAACGAAATGAAAACTGAAAGAAATACTCACTGCACAATGTTGTTTATTATTTGCTGTTAAGGCCATTTGCAATTTCAATTATTATTAAAAATTTTGTTGGCTTTGAGAAACGTATATTCGCCTGAGCATTAAATTTGATATGATTGCTGCTTTATACAAAATATTTATACAAAAATATTTTATTTAATTTGTTCTATGTGCGTCAAATTTAATTTTCATTCAAAAATATTATTTTTATGAATCGGCGAAATGTGAGCTCAAGAGATTTCAGCAAAATTTTGAATGTTGCGTTTGTTGTTTGTGGTCGGCCTTTAAATGCATGCATAAATATTTTGAATACTTTGACAATTTATTTACACACACAAACACACACAGTAGCAGCTGCTAATTAAATTTAGTTGTTTAATTATTAATGCAACAAATGTATGCGCTTAAATCTTTGCATGGTTTTGTTTACAGTTTTAAGAGATTTTTTATTATGGTTTTATAAGCTTGTGCTTAACTAACCTTTGGTTTTATCCATTTAACTAATTTAATTAAATAATTGCATATTAAAAAATTAATAACAGCCATGAAAAGCACTTATAAATAATATATCAGGTGCTGGGATTTATTAATTGCCAACACTTCAAATGTACAAAATTGCGTAGAGTGTGGCAACCCTGCTAAAACGCCACCTGGCGCACTGTTAAGCCAATGTATGTTAAGTGCTATAAAACGACCAAAACTAATTGCTATGTTAAATTCCTCTTAACTCTTGCAGAGTTTACTTTTTGCATGCACTCAATTCTATTGCTTTTTTTACCTTTGTTCTGCTACTTGATTTTAATATTAGTTTTAAGCGCTGCACTTTTGTTTATCTTTTCTTGATTTACACAAAAAAAATACAAAGGGAAAATATAAACTAATATTATAACTATTTATGTTTATTTTCCACTGCACCGCACCGGGTTACAGGTCACCGCCACGGATGGCGACAAGGATCGTCCGCAGAATATTGTTTATTTTCTAACTGGCCAAGGCATAGATCCCGATAATCCAGCCAATAGCAAATTCGACATTAATCGCACAACGGGCGAAATATTCGTACTTAAGGTAAGTGTACAAAAAACATTAAAAAACAGTAATAATAAATCCGGGACATTCTTAAATCAACACAACTGCAATTGAAGCATTAACAAAATGTCACCAAAACCGCAACGAACATGCCGATAATATGTATAAATAAAAAAACTACGAATGCGCACGACTAGCAAATACCTTCGGCATAGAATACAAGGCACAAACTCAAAAGAACTTTTCTTAATTTTGTCTTCTTCTGTTTACAAATATTTGAACTTTATAAACAGGTATTTCACGACTATGTTCTGTCAGCTTTACGCAACAAGCAGTCTACCCGCTTTGAGGGCATGCGGGGTATTTAGAAGAGTGCTTAAAAACTGCGGACCATGGCCACATTGGAATACACAGCTGTTGTGGCCAGCGGTAACTGAAAATGATTGCGCAATATGCGCTCTGATTAAGCTCCATCAATGCACACTTAATCCCCAGACAGCTGCGGCGGGCCCCTGCATAAGAACGCCAGCCAGACCCATTCTTAACGCAACTGGGAACGCGCGAAACTCATTATTTAACATTTAAGTTTTTATGGGGCGACGAATTGTGGGCGCTTTTGTGGCAACGCATTTAAATCAATGCGCATATAGTTGTATTGATTTATGAAGGGGATGCCTTTTAAAACAAAAAAGTGCCCACTCTTGTTTTTATTTGCTGCGAAAATGGTTTTTAATCGCGTGAATCGTGCATGACGTGAATAAAGTGGTGTGATAATTAATAAAGTTTGAGCAAGTCAATTAACTGAAGAGAGTTATGGACGTATCGAGGGAACTTCTAAGTGTTCTTAAGCTTGAGTTTTATATGTGCTTCAAATATATGCTGCATTTTAAAATACGTTTGTAGTGCAGTTAACTTAAACCTTAACATTAATATGTTATTGTGAACTGTTAGCTATCATTAAGAAATATTACAGATAAATTAACATTATTAATCATTACAGAGCTGTGCCACATTTTATTATTGGATATATTTTGTATAGTGTGGTAGTTAACATAATCAGCCTAACATAATAAAGTGTAGCTTCACTGCAAAGCTAAAAGAATGTTAAATAGTTTTCTAAAGCACTTCAAATCAATTCTAAATGAGATAATATTATTGTTGAAATGTTTCTGCTTGTTACTGTAAGTTGCAGCAAGGAACTTAACAGCGTCGTTAACAGCAAATTGTGATACATCTAACAGAATGTTCGCAAACATTACAGAAATTGTTACTAGAATATTAAAAAGATTTTACAATACAACTTCAAAAATGCAAATATACTAATTGAAAGCCATGCGAATTAAAATAAATATCTCGTAAAAGCTAACAAAAAAGGAGAAAACCCTGCAAAAACACTTGAAAAAATTGTATATTTTTTTGTGCCCTATTGGCCATTAATGAAGTAATATTGTATCAAAATGTGCAGCCAAAAGCACAAAAACTGTTGTGGTTAAAACAATAATGCGCGTGCTGTAGTTAAGAAAAATAGGGCAGCATAAGGATATGAACATGAATGCACACACATGCAACCCACACAGAAAAACACACACACATACAGGCGCTCGGAGTCCAACTAATCCCTTAAATTGAATATGTCATAACAATGCTGTCAAATTTGTCATGCAAATTAAAGCGATGACGACGCATGAGGACTGTGTGTATGTTTTTTTATTTTTTGCCGCTTTCAATTTTTTACAACTAATCCAATGTCAGCGCTATGAAAAGCTGTTCTTGTTACTGCATGTCCTGCTGTTATTGTTGTATTTGTTACGTTACGTTGTGGCTGTCATGCCAGAAGCTGGTCCAGGGGTTTCTTTTTTTTTTTTTTTTGGGGCATACACCCGGCTGTAGATTGTCGGTATCCAGGGGCTGGCTGCTGCGTAACAGCATGAGCCAAGAGAGATACAAAAGTGCTGATTAAAATCGTTTTTTCTGTACTTGTTATTATAAAAAGGTGGTCTTAACCCGGCCCCTTTTAACCAGGTGAGGTTTGGGGCTCAGATTGCGTTGGGTAATGGCTGCCGGATTGCCGGAGCTTCACATCACATCACTCAAGCCAGCCTCTGTATGCATATCAAAGTCAAAATCAGCACCAGGGACTGGCGACCCACAGCTCAGCACAGCTGTGGGCGCTGCCATTGTGAATGGATAATTTTACAGGGTTACACACACAGACACACACACACACAAATACACAGACACAGGGAGTTTTACCGGAGCTTCGTCGAGTTGCACTTGTGCGTTTTCATATATTTGAGGGTAGCTGGGCAAGTGGTTGTGCACTCGAAGAAATTTATTCAAAATTCTGCGTACTCAAATCAAGTCAAAATTTCGTAAGCTGAGCACCAAATTCGTATTTAAACCTTTTTTCCTAATTATCAAATGCCTGAAAAAATTGACTTAAATTTAGTTAAAGTTCATGAAAAGAGTGTACTTAATTCAATTCTAAGTATTTTCAAGAATGAAAATATTTATTTCAAGCAAAGCAAAAGAGAACTTTCGAACTGCTTTTGATTTTTGTAAGTGTAGAACTTGGCTATGTGCGCCAACAATGTTTACAGTGATGTTAATCGGTTTTGCGGTTATGACAGCTAAAATTACACAATAGCCGGCTCAAACAGGTTAACTTCCTTCTATTCTAGCTGAATTCGTATTTACACAGTATTTATCTCCTATCTCTCTCTTTCTAACTCACACTCTACCCTGCAGCCGCTGGATCGCGATCAACCGAACGGACGACCACAGTGGCGTTTCACCGTCTTTGCTCAGGATGAGGGCGGCGAGGGTCTTGTGGGCTATGCGGATGTTCAGGTTAATCTGAAGGATATCAACGACAATGCGCCCATTTTCCCGCAGGGTGTTTACTTTGGCAACGTTACAGAAAATGGCACCGCCGGCATGGTGGTCATGACCATGACAGCTGTCGACTATGACGATCCCAATGAGGGTTCGAATGCGCGTCTGGTCTACTCGATCGAAAAGAATGTGATTGAGGAGGAGACGGGTTCACCCATTTTTGAAATAGAACCAGACACTGGCGTAATAAAGACAGCTGTTTGTTGTTTGGATCGTGAGCGTACGCCGGATTATTCGATACAAGTGGTTGCCATGGATGGCGGGGGGTTAAAGGGCACGGGCACGGCGTCTATACGTGTCAAGGATATTAATGACATGCCGCCGCAGTTCACCAAGGACGAATGGTTCACAGAAGTGGATGAAACGGATGGCACCGCCCTGCCCGAAATGCCCATACTGACAGTCACAGTACACGACGAGGACGAAACGAACAAGTTCCAATACAAAGTTATCGATAACAGCGGCTACGGCGCCGATAAGTTTACAATGGTGCGCAACAATGATGGCACCGGCTCACTAAAGATTGTCCAGCCGCTGGACTATGAGGATCAGCTGCAGAGCAACGGCTTCCGCTTTCGCATACAGGTGAACGATAAGGGCGAGGATAATGATAACGATAAATATCATGTGGCCTACTCCTGGGTGGTGGTCAAGCTGCGCGATATTAACGATAACAAGCCGCACTTTGAGCGCGCCAACGTTGAGGTGTCCGTGTTCGAGGACACCAAAGTGGGCACCGAGCTGGAGAAGTTCAAGGCCACCGATCCGGATCAGGGCGGCAAGAGCAAGGTCTCCTATTCGATAGATCGCTCCTCGGATCGCCAGCGTCAGTTTGCCATCAATCAGAATGGTTCGGTCACTATACAGCGTTCGCTGGATCGTGAGGTTGTGCCGCGGCATCAGGTCAAGATTTTGGCCATCGACGATGGCTCACCACCGAAAACAGCAACAGCTACGCTGACGGTTATTGTGCAGGATATCAATGACAATGCGCCCAAGTTCCTCAAAGATTACAGACCCGTGCTGCCGGAGCATGTGCCGCCACGTAAAGTTGTCGAAATTCTGGCCACCGATGACGATGATCGCTCCAAGAGCAATGGCCCACCCTTCCAGTTCCGCCTGGATCCCAGCGCTGATGATATTATACGCGCCTCCTTCAAGGTTGAACAGGATCAAAGTGAGTAGAGTTTTTATTTTAATTTTCATAGATATTTTAAGGGCTGGGAAGAATAATTTTTAATTGTGTTTTATTTGAAAACACAGCTATGTTGCAAAGAAATGCTAGTATGAAGTACCTTTAGCCCAATATGTCACTTCACAACACCTAATTTTTATAATCAGATGTAGAGATAGTTATTCTCAGTTAAAAATAGTAAATTGATTACTTTTATAGACAAAACTCGAATTTAATTAGTTTTTTCATAGATTGCAAATCCAAAATATGAAAACATATGCACATGTCGTTTCACAACACTGAAATTGGCGACATGCTACAAACAAAGCAAGATTTCAATATAACGTAAAGAAAATAAACTAAATAAAACCTAAGCAATGTATAAAAGATGACTGGGAAGTAAAAAGTGTGTCAAAAATCAAATAAACATAATAAAAAATGGTGTCATTTCTCAACACTTAAGTGTTAGTTAGTGCTAGTGTGCATAGACAACATTTATTTTAAAATGTTTTAATTTTTAATTTGAGTTACACGAAGTTAAGAATAATAATAGTATTTTGGCCATTTGGTTAGCTATTTTCTAAATATGAGCACACCACTTGGCAAATGACTGCACGCATTGATGGCCAAAAGAGAGAGCTGAGAGTTGACCCCAAGTGGCGAAGTGCGATGCATAAAAGTTAGCCAAATATGTGGGTCAAAGTTTGAACAATGCGAAAGTGCAAAATGTTCTACTGCAATTATTGTTGTTATTGTTGTTGTCCATACAAACTATGCACAATAATATTGCCTTTCGAACGGATATGTCGAATTTAGAGCTCGCATTCGAATTCGTATTCGTATTGGCTGTCACAATGTGTGGCAAAGCCAAAGCATAAAAATGCAATTACCTTGAATATAAATGAAATGAATAGCATCAAGCATTGGGCCATAAAACGGGTAATACCAAACCGCAGCAGCACACACAATGTGAAAATTTAAATTAAATAAGCCAGAGCAAAGATACCCACACACTCACACACACACACACACACACAGAGTCGCACACAGAGGCACACACACCTGTCCAGACAAAAAATAAAATAGCAAAATGCACAAGTTTTCAATTAAATTATTCCCACATGCAAAAAAATAGTTGAGTCGACAGCCAGAACGCTCGCTCGGGTTCCGGCCAAGTCAAAGCATTCAGATACAAGCTCAGTTTGGTGCTTCAAGCTGCTACTGAGACGACGACTGTGTGTGTGTGTGTGGTGTGTGTCTGTGTGTGTGTTGTGTGTCTGTACATGGGTAGTGCGGGCTGTTATCCAATTTTAATGCGCGCCAACGGGGAGTCGGAAAAGTTTTGCGCCTGTGGCTTGACTTTGTTAGTGTATGTGTCTGTGTGTGTGTGTGTTGTGGTGTATTGGCCTTGTCGACTTCAACGTATTTGCATACAATTTGCCTAAAAACACACCATGGAGTCTCTTTAAAAATACATTTGAAATGTGCGTTGCCCAATGCCCTTCCCCAAAAGGCAGCAGACCAATCCGAATGGAAATAGAAGAACCGTGGGTGGAGAATGGGGGCGCTGGGTTGCATGGGCGTGGCAAGTGGTAAGTCGGATTAGCAACGACATTTGTTGTATGCATGCGGCTAGAATATGTGCATGTACGAGTTAGTCTTAACACTTGTTGGCCCGCCAGGCGTAATTACAACAAATGGGCAAAAACACACACAAAATTGTCGGAAAAGCTGCCTTCCAAAGTTGTTTCCAGTGTGCAATCAGCCGGAAACGTGTAGACTAATAAAGGTGCTTAGCATCTGAGGTTGAGCTCTGTCTGGTTGACAGCAAACTCTATTGGTACCTTTTGCCCATTCCGCTGCACAATTAACTAGAAAATGCTTTTAAGAGCTTAGCAACAAAACTAAATTTGACACAGCAGATTTATCGTATTATTATCCAACAGTTGGACACAGCATTCGAATAATGTGTTGGCATATTAATTACGCAAATGTGCTTTCTAGTTGAATACTTATTAAATATTATTAAAATCAAAAATTTATATTTGCAAATATTGAAAAAAATATACAAGAAGCCAAACCTTACGAAAATCGAACGCGATTTGACCGAGTTATCGGCTGGGAAATTTTGACTTACGTCTATATAGGATATTTGAGGCTAACATTTCTACATTAATTACGAGCAAGAATCATGCAGCCAGATTTAGATGCCACATTGATCTTGAGGCCAAGCCATGACCAACAAGCAAAACCTAGTGGAAATCGGATGAGATTTGATTGAGTTATGGGAGTGGGAAACTCACCAAATCTTTGACCCCCATTTTTAGTCAGTCAGTCAAACTGGACAAACATATTTATATATAGTGATTCAAAACAATAAGGATATTGAATAAGTTGGGGTCTTGGGTCTTTTGTAATATACTGTTATATATATTTTATAAATTTCTCTCTATTCCCTTGCCCATCCACAGAGGGTGCCAATGGTGATGGCATGGCGGTTATCTCATCACTGCGCTCCTTTGATCGAGAGCAGCAGAAGGAGTACATGATACCCATTGTGATCAAGGATCATGGCTCGCCGGCAATGACTGGCACTAGTACGCTGACGGTGATCATTGGCGATGTGAACGACAACAAGATGCAGCCGGGCTCGAAGGATATATTCGTGTACAACTATCAGGGACAGTCGCCGGATACGCCAATTGGCCGCGTCTATGTTTACGATCTGGACGATTGGGATTTGCCCGACAAGAAGTTCTATTGGGAGGCGCAGGAGCATCCACGCTTCAAGCTGGACGAGGACTCTGGCATGGTGACAATGCGCGCAGGCACACGCGAGGGTCGCTACCATCTGCGCTTCAAGGTCTACGATCGGAAGCACACCCAGACGGATGTGCCGGCCAATGTGACCGTTATGGTGCGTGAGATACCACACGAGGCGGTCATCAATTCGGGTTCGGTGCGTCTTTCGGGCATTTCCGATGAGGATTTCATACGCGTATGGAATTATCGCACACAGAGCCTGAGTCGCTCCAAGCTGGATCGTTTTAGGGATAAATTGGCGGATCTATTGAATACGGAACGCGAGAATGTCGATATATTTAGCGTGCAGCTAAAGCGTCGCAACCCACCGCTGACCGATGTACGCTTCTCGGCGCACGGCTCACCCTATTACAAGCCAGTCCGACTCAATGGCATTGTGCTGATGCATCGCGAGGAGATCGAAAAAGATGTGGGCATCAATATCACCATGGTTGGCATCGATGAGTGCCTGTACGAGAATCAAATGTGCGAGGGCAGCTGTACCAATGCCCTCGAGATTAGCCCCCTGCCCTATATGGTGAATGCGAACAAGACGGCGCTGGTGGGCGTGCGCGTCGACACCTTGGCCGATTGCACCTGTGGTGCACGCAATTTCACCAAGCCCGAGTCCTGCCGTACCACGCCCTGTCACAACGGCGGCCGTTGTGTGGACACACGTTTCGGACCGCACTGCTCTTGCCCGGCGGGCTATACGGGTCCGCGCTGCCAGCAGACAACTCGCAGCTTCCGCGGCAACGGCTGGGCCTGGTATCCACCGTTGGAGATGTGCGACGAGTCCCATCTGAGTCTCGAGTTTATAACACGCAAGCCGGACGGCTTGATTATCTACAATGGACCCATTGTGCCGCCCGAGCGCGATGAGATGCTCATCTCAGATTTTGTGGCACTGGAGCTGGAACGCGGCTATCCCCGGCTGCTGATAGACTTTGGCTCGGGCACACTGGAGCTGCGCGTGAAGACCAAGAAAACGCTGGACGACGGCGAATGGCATCGCATTGATTTGTTCTGGGATACGGAGAGTGTGCGCATGGTTGTTGACTTTTGCAAATCGGCCGAGATTAGCGAAATGGAGGACGGCACTCCGCCCGAATTCGATGATACCTCGTGTCAGGCACGCGGCCAGATACCGCCCTTCAATGAGTACTTGAATGTGAACGCACCACTGCAGGTGGGCGGCCTCTATCGGGAGCAGTTCGAGCAATCTCTCTACTTCTGGCACTATATGCCCACGGCGAAGGGCTTCGATGGCTGCATACGCAATCTGGTGCACAACTCCAAGCTGTATGATCTGGCCCATCCGGGCCTGTCGCGCAACAGCGTCGCCGGCTGCCCACAGACGGAGGAGGTGTGCGCCCAAACGGAGGCAACGGCACGCTGCTGGGAGCATGGCAATTGCGTTGGCTCCCTTTCGGAGGCACGCTGCCATTGCCGACCCGGCTGGACGGGCCCCGCATGCAATATACCCACTGTACCCACCACCTTTAAGGCGCAGAGCTATGTCAAATATGCTCTAAGCTTTGAGCCCGACCGCTTTAGCACACAGGTGCAGCTGCGTTTCCGTACACGCGAGGAGCACGGCGAACTGTTTCGGGTTAGCGATCAGCACAATCGCGAATACGGCATATTGGAGATAAAGGATGCACGTCTGCATTTCCGCTACAATTTGAACTCGCTGCGCACCGAGGAGAAGGATCTGTGGCTCAATTCGGTGGCCGTCAACGATGGCCAATGGCATGTGGTGCGCATCAATCGTTATGGCTCGGCGGCCACCTTGGAGCTGGATGGCGGCGAGGGCAGGCGTTACAATGAGACGTTCGAGTTTGTGGGGCATCAGTGGCTGTTGGTCGACAAACAGGAGGGTGTCTATGCGGGCGGCAAGGCCGAATATACGGGCGTGCGCACATTTGAAGTGTATGCGGACTATCAGAAGAGCTGTCTAGATGATATACGGTGCGTATGCTTAATTGATTTTTTTTATTTACGAATTTCAATATTGTTCTGATTTTTGCTGCTATTTCGAATATCTTTTCCCGCCCACTAACTAACTTTATATTATTTTGTTCTATCTTTTGCAGTCTGGAGGGCAAACACCTGCCCCTGCCACCCGCCATGAATGGCACTCAGTGGGGCCAGGCAACAATGGCACGTAATTTGGAAAAGGGTTGCCCCTCCAACAAGCCCTGCTCGAATGTCATTTGTCCCGATCCCTTCGAGTGTGTCGATCTTTGGAATGTCTATGAGTGCACGTAAGTCTTGTCATTAGCTAAATTCAATTCTAATTTACATACCACACATTCATGTATTGCTCTTTCGTTTCTCATAATGAAAACGTTTTTTAAAAAAAAAAAAAAAAAAAAAAAAAATGACAACTCGGACTGTGGACAAAAGAAAAAAACACAAAAATACCTAAAACAAAACCTTAAAATTAATAAACACACATGGGTCATACGGCAAAATTAAACAATTTAAAAATACACAAAACGAGTGTTGAAAAATACCAAGGACACAAAAAGTATTTCATGCCCAAGAATCGGCATTGAACATTTGATAGGCTTAATCAATTAGAGGCTGCGACATAAAAATAAAATAAATAAAAGATAAAAGCAGTGAAAAATCGAAATTGTGCCGCGTCACCGGCAGCTTACGCTGTACGTCAATCAACTGACGTTGCCAGCCTGTTGAGCTGCCTCGTCCTGGTCCAGGACACACACACAAACCGAGTTAGTCGCTGGCCACGTGTTGGGGTGGTTAACGTTGCGTGACAAATCAATCGGATTAGGTTTAAGGGCAGGCACAAATCGATATGCTCTTGTCTCCATCACCTGAACGCAACTGTACATATTCACGCTTTTTCACCAGGCACTAGCTTAACAGACACACACACAGAGACACACAAAAAACACACACAGTAGCAATATATATATGTATATCTGTGGCGTTTGACAGCACGCATCACGCGTGGCGGTACTTGTGCTTAGTTGGCCTCCACATTTCTGGCTGTTCAGCACTTGTGAAACGGTTAGCATAAATCGGCTAAAAGGTTATAAACTATAACCCAACTGATTTCACACTTAAATGTATTTAACAGTGCTTAATTGTTTTTCGTTTTTCTGTTTGCCTTAAAGCTATTTCGAAACGCTTAAGAGCCACTGTTAAAAGCTGAACTCTGTTTAAATAAGCCTCTAAAACGGTTAACAGGAATCGGTTACAGGGAGGTAAATGTTACCATATCGGCCCTAAGTAAGACTTATTTGTCATTCAATTTGACAGATAAACCATAAAAAACAATCGGTTGATCGATTATGAACTGAAAGCCAGCCAGGCTAACGCCAAAGATAACGTTACGGTTTTAAAGAAAACGAATAGAAGAACATAGACTGACCAAATTGGCTCTACATAAGACTTTTATATTTACCAAACGGTTGACAGTTATCAGCTAAACTTACATCAGCAAGGACAACCAAGAAAATAATGTTTACCAAATAGTTAACATCCATCGGTTTGGCGGCTTACCCCTTAACAGTAATCGGTTAAACGGTTAGAGTAACATCAGACATTGCTTAACTTTTTCGTTTGCTAAGAGCTTAACAGCAATCGGTAAATGGACATACGTTAGACCTAACCCAACATTAGCCCACATTTATGCGAATTATTTTAGTTTCTCTTGCCCATTAATCACACTTAGCTGCCCTTAACAAAGATATAACAATATCATGTTAACTTAAACATTTCGATATCGAATGCGAATTTTAAATATAAAAAAAATAGTTGCGGCGAGGGACGCATCATGTCGCCCGATTCAAAGGGCTGCATGGATCGCAACGAATGCCTCGATATGCCCTGTATGAACGGCGCCACGTGCATTAATCTCGAGCCGCGTCTGCGTTATCGCTGCATTTGCCCCGACGGCTTCTGGGGCGAGAGCTGTGAGCTGGTGCAGGAGGGTCAGACCCTCAAGCTGAGCATGGGCGCCCTGGCGGCCATACTCGTTTGCCTGCTGATCATACTGAGTGAGCAATTCAAATCAATTCCAAATCAAAAATATATATCTGTATAAATATATATACCTAGCTTTATATGCAACAACAAAGAGACCATTTAATATTATTTAAAGTGAGCAACTAGTGCTTAGCGCCTGCCTTTAGTTTAGTTACCGTTTACCATTTAATCTGTCATTTTATTAGCTGTTCACAATACAAACTCATTCATGCATATATCTACCTATAACCAACATCATATCATATACGGGCATTTCATTTGAGTTTTTCAATTGTAAGCCTGCCTTGCACCCCCCACATACACACACACACATATAGAATTTAGTTACCCAGCATTTTTGGACCATAATTTGCTGCATTTATTTTGCTCCAATTGAAACTGATTTAGCCCACATACATATCATATATCATGCCATACCATGCCATGCGAATATACATATGTCAAATGCATAAAATCCAATCATTCAGCTACACACGCATCGATTCATTCATAAAAAAAAAATATCACAGCTCACTGAATTCCGAATTTGTATATTTTATAAAATTCTTGTGATATTTATCAGCTATGTGACGCTTATTTCATGATATTTATATTGAAAAAAAAAAATGATATATAGTTTTGTAATTCCACATTCATCTGCATTCCATCAGCATCATTCGATGTTAGCGTTAACATCTTCTTTATTATCGACTTTATTTATGGCACAATATTTTCTGTTTCCCCACACAATGTTCAATAACTTTCTCTCTGTTTGTTTGTGCGTGTGTGTGTTTAAATATTTTTATAATAAATAAATGTTTTATATATAAAGAACACAACAAACTGAAAGGTATGTACTTACATATATGTAGTTCCGTTTCATTTATATCAATATTTCTCTAGACAATTGCCTAATTACCTGAAATATTAGAGGATAAAAAATATATTAAAATATATCATATATATAAATATATATAAATTGAAATTGCTTATATAAACATAATAAACACTGAAATCGCACTTTAATTAAATACTATATATACAAAACATTTTGTAAAAATAATTGAGCTTAGGCAGAGTTATGCTCCTGATAACAATTATAGAAAAAAAAAATGGAATATAATTTTAAACATTTTCCGAGCAGCACTGGAAAACTAATTAAGAAAACAAAGCTTAAAGTGCAGTTACTAAAAGAAAACGACTTTACAGTTTCTCTCCCACACACACACACACACACACACACATATATATATATTAAGAACTTTAGCTGTTACGCCCCCCAGCCAACACCCACATTCACGCACACGCACACGCACACACAGGCGCGCGTTTACCTTGTGAACTGCACTGAAAGAAGCCAAGCACAGAATCCTGAAGAGCTTAAATGCCTTCAGGTAAGATAATAAATGTGCAGTCAAAGATACATACAAGTTGGCCAACAGGACGAGGCCAGGCGCAGACAACTGAAAGAGCAATGGCTGATTTTAGCTTTGGCATTTCGAAAAATCACGATGCACTAAATCCGCTTGAGCAAACAGATAGACGATGCGCAGAACGAATATGTAGTACAACAGGAGTCAAGAGTTGTGAGTCCTGAGACCTGAGGCTCAAAGGAGCTGCCAGTTTCATTTGCGGAGTCTCGCGAGGATTTGCAGACACACAACGTTCGCATTTTTTATTTTCGTCTTCTTCGTTTTATCTACTGCTTCCCTCTCTTTTTTTCGGTTGCTACTTGTGAGATTTTTCTTTTTAAATACAAGTTAAGAGCATTTCCGCTGCGTAAACATGTGTGTGTGTTGGAGTGTGTGTAAAAACAGATATACACACACAAACACACACAAAAGCACACAGTTCAAGTTTGGAACAAACATTTTGTAGGTAAATAATGTTCCAAGAGCAGGGCTGGAGTTAAGTGTTCGATTAAGAGATACCCTTTATACTTTTTGAAGCTTTGAACATTTTCAAGTGCCAAAAATTAAGAAAAAACCTGAATCGATTTTGAGAAATCTTTAATAAATCCACATCATATTCAAATATTAAAAAAAAACCCTAAGTAATATTAGATTGAAAATCGATATTAATCGAATTTGCTGAAGTAGGTAAATCGATTTTCGGTATAATAGAGAAGAAACAATCTATAACACGAATTCGATACATAGAGAATGCCTGATGATATTATAAAGGCAGACATAGCTGAAGGTAACATTCAATGAAATGCATCTATAAAAAGTATCGTTACCATTTCAAGCGCTTAAATGTTTACAGGGTATACAAAGAAATTGTTTCATGCCAACTCTAAGTAAAACTTAATGACGTAAAATATGGCAAAGTTGTGCCGAGCACTGTCCAAACCTGAAAAAGTGTATAAATATATCTAGATATATATATTTATATATATGTATATACTCTATAAAGTGCCCACTTTTGATCAGCTTCAACAACGCACTTGGGAGCAATCACTAAAAGGCGCAGCGCAAAAAACTATGCAACTTTTTTTTTTTTTTTTTTGCTTCCCTTAGTTGTGCCCAGCTTTTTCTGCCGCTGATTTAGTGTGAAAGTTTTTGCTGGCTTTCCTTCAATGCTTCCTCTTGCTGTTCCTTAACTGGCATTTGGTGGCGCAGTTTGCAGTTTATGCCGCCGCCCGCTGTGCGGCGCTTTTGTGCGATTTGTTGGCTCGTTGGTCAAGAAGTCTCTGGTATTTGCCAATAATCGTCAATATATCAAAAGTGTCTTATGTCTGCATTTGAAAAGTATTCAGCCGCAAAGTCTGTTGACTTTTATTTTTTTTTTTCTTACTTTGATTCAGTTTTGCATGCAAAGTCAAACAAATTTGTGGCATTATTATTGCATTTCGCGCACAGCTGCAAATAGAAGCAGCTAAGTGGAAAATGAAGTGAAACCAAATGCCAAAGTTTCACAAAACTTTTGGTTATGTTTACTAATAATCTCCTGAGGATCCATGCATACATGTAGAGAGAAAACTTTTCGCCTCAAAGAGCACACAAATAGCTTTTCAACATTTAAAATAAAATGCGTAACGAAGGTCACACAGTTTCTAGGTGACAGTTTATTATTAAGGGGTGCCAAGCCATAAATTAACTTGGGGTTGCTTCTCAGCACATGTCAATTGTTGGCTACCCTTCAGACGTGTGCATGTGTGTGGAGAGAGAGAGAGAGAGGATTTGTTGTGCAAACTAATCAAAACAAAACTTAAGCAAGTGCCAAATGCATTTGAAATGTCAGGAGAAATAAAGGAAGAAGACGTACACATTGCGGTTGGTCAGAAGAAGAATATGCAGCAGGAAACTTTATTCAATTCTATCAGCAACAACTGCATAATAATCATAAAACAAGAAACAAAATAAAAAAAAAGTGCAAGTGAAAACCAAAAGTGCACTTTAGAAGCCCCCAAACACACACGAAAAGACACCCGCCCCCCTGCATACACATACCCGCAAATGCATAAAGTTTGTACCAGCTAAGAAAATCTGTAAGCTGTAAAACTGAAAATTGTGAATGGAAAAGCGCCAAAGCGCAAAATAATAACAACAAGAACAACAACAACAACAACAACAATAAAAACGCTAGCGAACGAAACGAACGTTTCATAAGACTTTTTGACAGTTGTGCTCCCACGCACACACACACACCCTTACACACACACACTTGAACTAAATTTCCATTTTCAAAACTGCAGCAAGGACAAGCTTTATGAAAGCGTTAAAAAAAAAAGAAACGAAGAAACTTTACAACACTCGCGCACACACAACGCCTTGCATGATGTACAACAAATTTAAAATAATCTCTTTTTGTTTTCCAACACTCTACTTTGAACAAACACACAAACAACGCTACACAACTCTACACATCGCAATTCACCACACTCAACTCCCCACACACTCAAAACTGCGCGCTTGACATCGAATACGTTTCACGTTTCGGTTGTGCCCTTGTCACGTTTAGCTGTCCTGCGGGCTATAAAGTCTCTGGCAGCAGTTGCGTCAATGAGAACGAATGCCTGCTTTTCCCCTGCCGCAATGGGGGACGCTGTCGCGATCATCAGCCGCCCAAGAAGTATGAATGCCATTGTCCTTTGGGCTTCACCGGTATGCATTGTGAACTGGAGTTATTGGCCTCGGGGGTGTTGACACCATCCCGTGATTTTATTATTGCCCTGGTCCTCTGCCTCAGCACGCTGATACGTAAGTATAGACAAGCCACGTAAATAGATATATATATATATATATATATATACGTATTTATTTATATATATATATACGTATTTATCGCGTATATTCGCGGCAAGTGGGTAAGCTGAGAAATATGCCTAAGTCAAGTTAGAGTAGCTTTAAGCAAATATACTTAGTATTAGAGTGGAAATCGTCGAAGTAAGTACAGGCAATATGTGCATGGCTTAAAATGTATATTTATTCATTTAGCACAATGTTCTCAACTCTCTGCTAAGCTTTCGTTCTGTTTTATTTTTATTAATTTTGCATATAATTTTACTTATTTTTTAATTTGTATTTATTAATTAATTGCGCAAAAAACTCCATATAATTCTTATCAATAGTAGTTTAAAATATATATAAATGCTTATCAAGAGCAATCCATGTTTTTCGAAAATCGATTGACACTTATCGTTATATCGGACGAAATCCCCCTTGCACGTGTTCGTCAAGTTATCGATATTTATCGATATATATCAAGATTTATCGTTGCAAATAAAGCCGAATAATGCATGAGTCCGCAAATACGAACTTTAAGTGGCAATTATGTTATTTCTTCCTTTCATTTTCTGTTTTCAACTGCGCTCAATTTGTAAAACGCGCAGTTAAAAGCATTAAAGTAAAAATGACAGTATTTTTTTATGGAGTTTATGTCATTTGAATATTTATGAAATCGACGAAGCCTGGAAATTAATTAAGCCATACATTTACCAATTGGCCACGCCCAAGCGAGCTACAGAAATTCTCCTTTTTTTTTGTACAGAGAGGCAAACATCAAAAGTCATTTCCGCAAATTACATGCGGCCAAGCGATGCACATAAATTAAAGTTTATTGAACGAACGGAGGCGAAAATAAATGGACAGCTCTTTCTCTTTTAATCTGTTACTTGTGCTTCTTCTTCATGTTACAGAATGTTAAGTTAAACTATGGAATGTAAAATTAAACATGTGGCGAGTGGCAGAAAACCAAACACAAACCGAGAATGCGAATTTGAGTAATACAATAATTGCAATTACGCGACGTCCATTTTGGCCATTGCCAGCTGTTTGGCAAAAAGTTTGGTGTAACCCCACACACTCTTGGCCCACACACAACCCCCCTTGACAGCCCACAGCAAATTACTTGAGAGGGGAACAACTTCTACGGCTGCTTTGTCCAAATAAGTTGAAAAACTTTGAGCTGTGCAACAGATGCTGCAATATGCTCGCAAAAGACGCAGGGACAAAATTAGAAAACAGCAGCGAAACAGCAGCCAAAAGGCGACAGAAGCTAAACGGAACAAAAAGTAAAGAAACCGAAACGAATGGAAAAGGAAACAACAACAACAACAACAACAAAATGGCGGCATAAAGCGTGGACAAAAGCGCCGGCAGCAGCTCGATTTTGCTCTTTTGGCAAACAATATTTGGCTGGCACAGTGGCAGTTACAGTTACAGCCGCAAACTGTAGACAAAGAGATAGAGAGCGAGAGAGAGAGATAGAAAGAGAGAGAGAGAGAGAGAGAGAGAGAGAGAAAAGCAGAGAAAGAGATAGCGAAAACTGGGACAATGTGCACCATATTTGTTTGTACATTTCTATGCCCTCTTCCAATGGGTATTACAATTTTGACACGATTTGTGCAACACCTACAAATATCGCATATATAAATATATCGATGATATAAATACTAGGATGTCGCATCTTGGATCCTGCAATCTACGTCTGTCTAGGCCTAACGTAATATGCAAGTCAAAAAAGAAGGCTAGGCCAGTTTTTCACGCATTTTCCGCACTTTGTCGTGGAACATTGTATTCATTTTGAATTAATATATATTTATTTAGTAATGCTGTTTTTTGCTCTGTGCTAAAAATCGAAGTTTTATTTCTCATGTCTCAGCAAGGGTATACAATCATTTGGTTTTCACAAATCTGAAATCTTTTTTCCACCGTTTTTTTTCCTATTATATTTGCTTCCATTATTTTATTTTATTTTATTTAATTTTTTTTTTTTCAAAACAAGCGCGCGTGTGTTTTTTCTATTTTGCTTATAGCACATTTTATGCAATTCCCTTTTTTCCATTTGTTTTATTTTCTTGCGAGAATTTAATTAAGAACCTTTTTGCAACTGTGAAGAGAGCGCAGATTTTATTTCGACTATTTCCGAGTAAAATTGCTTTAGTTAAATTCACCATTTAAATTACCCTATTTTTGCATGCCAAACGAATACGTATTTAATTTAGTTCATATTGCAGTAGAGTCCCTTGGTAATTGGTTGTTGCATATGAAATAGCTAGATATTGAGTACAGTTATGCACGAATTCCAATTAATCAAAATAACTTTGATTTTTCGCATAGTACTCGTTCTGGTATTTGTGGTCTACAATCGACGCCGTGAGGCGCATATCAAATATCCCGGACCCGACGATGATGTGCGCGAGAATATTATCAATTACGATGATGAGGGCGGCGGCGAGGACGATATGACCGCCTTTGATATAACGCCATTGCAGATACCAATTGGTGGGCCAATGCCGCCTGAATTGGCGCCCATGAAAATGCCAATTATGTGTAAGTACTTATTTCATATTTGTAAAAAGAATGCCTAGAGCAAAATTTGAGCAGTATATTTGCCGAATAAATTTAAGATTCAATGTTTCGTGTGATCACTTTCCTCAACTCTGATATAATACGTTTGCCAACATTTGTTAACAATCTTTGCAGATCCCGTGATGACGCTTATGCCCGGCCAGGAGCCCAATGTAGGCATGTTCATCGAGGAGCATAAAAAGCGAGCCGATGGCGATCCGAATGCGCCACCCTTCGATGATTTGCGCAATTATGCGTACGAGGGCGGCGGCAGCACAGCCGGTTCGCTTAGCTCATTGGCCTCAGGTGGGTTTAACAATTCTGATTAAGCATTCGTTTAGCATTTCGGTGCTCACCACGACTAGATTTGCACCCAATATTGCGGCAATATTTGACACACATGCGTAATGGCTGGTTTAGCTGCACCCCAAAAAGTATGCTACCAAGTAGTTCAAAATGTTGACAATGCGCAGATTTCTATTTATTTTACTACTTTCTTTTTTTTTGATTTACAGGCCAGCAACGCTCAAAAACCGCCGAATATTGGGTGTAAAATTAAGTAAATACTAAGAATACCGAAAAATACAAAGAAAATATTAAAAATAATAACAGATAAATTTCAGATTCACTGAACGAAACCTAATACAATAATTGTAAAGTATTTTGTGAAGACATTTAATGTTTTGTAAAAATACTGAAAATACAAAATATACCGAAACACTATGCAATTATTGTATGGTAGTTCGTGGACAGCTTTTATGTGTTTTGGAAAACATTAAAAATTCTAGATATACTATGTTGCACTAAATACTGAAATCACTCGCAAATGTTTTTGATTCAAGCAAATTTCTTTTATAAAAAAATGCGAGTATTATAAAACATCAAATACATAACATAAAACTAGCAATTTATTTCCCAACTTGCAATATTGAAATTCGCGTATTAAAACAATTTTTTTGTTGTTGTATATTTTCTTTTGCTTACAGGCACCGATGATGAGCAGCAGGAATACGACTACCTCGGAGCCTGGGGTCCGCGTTTCGATAAGCTGGCCAACATGTATGGCCCGGAGGCGCCCAATCCGCATAACACCGAGCTCGAATTGTAAGTTTCCAGCCAAAAAGAAAACAAAGAGAAGAAACGAAAAGCCCGAAACTGTAAACGCAGTTAAGTAGCCACAAAAGTTGCATTTAAAAATTCTACACGACCGTGGAGGTTAGGCAAAAATCATCGTAAACGATTTTCCCGCTAACTCAAACACAAAGAAGCGCAACCAAAGAAGCATGGCAAAACCCTAAGTTAGTGGAAAAATAGAGAAAAAACAAAAACAAAAAGCGAAAAAACATGAAAAAGGAAAAAAAAACCTATAAAACTAAACACATTTGACACGTAAAATGACATTTGTAAAAAATACTTCATCAGCATTTAAATTTAATAATTATTCTAATTAATTTAGTGTGAAGAGAACGCAAAAAAAAATAAAAACGAAATTCAAATTTGCGTGACAATTTTTTCGCAACATTTTTAAGAAAGGAATACGAAAACCTAGAGTATTGAGCAAGGAGCGAGAGCATACCAAAGTTTAGATTAGGCGCGTGCATGAATTTCCATTTTCCATTTTGATTATACCGAAGTGAAAATGGAAAAGAAATTGAATATATTTGTTGTGCATATTAATTTTAATTTTGCGATAAATGTAATTATTATTCTCTTAAGTTCAACATTCTTAAGTACTTTATGTTTGGCAAGTCATTTAGGCCAAGCTAAATACGTTTAGTTTATTTTTAAATTTACACATAAATTGATTTAAACGAGTATTATATTATTTTGATTTCGTATTAATTTTTAAGATTTAAACTTAAAGAACATAATTAAACTTTATATAAATGAATACCCAAAGACTGTTTTCGTTCCATCATAACAAGTACATATATACACAAGAAAAAAACACATAAATATATACATATATATATATATATATATATATATATATAAATAAATTAAACGAAACACAACTTTTAACTGGCATTACAAGGGGCGTTACGTTGTGTATCAGCACAAGTAAACCTACAACTAAAACCAGACAGATTCGAAATACACAGACCGAACCGTTCTGGCCAAAACAGTTTCTTTCAACAGCAAGCGGAAAAATGAATGAAGAAAATACTCCTAAAAAAATGATATTCTAAAATAAAAAATAAAAAATTTAAGCTAAAGCACGAAGAAATGAAAAAAAAAAAACAAACGCGTGTCTAGCTGAAGACAATTAAATGAGAAATGGGAAAAGAAAAAATGCAGAAATTTACCTTTAGACGAACTTAGCGCAATTGATATAATTAAATGGAAATACTTAAAGAGTAAACGAAAAGAAAACCAGAAAAAAACATATATGATAAAGAAAAGTATTTTACATTGTATATAATATTAGTTTTTAGCACGTAATAAACAAACGTAATTAAATCATACGAAATTGGTAGCAGAACCTTAAAGTCTTATTAAGTCATTTAAACTAGAAATGAACGATTCAAATATAACAACAACCGCATTCGACAAGTAAAATGAATAAAAAATATAAAAAACCACACAAACACACACACACATTTCATATATAAATATATAAATAAATATACTACTCGTACAAAAACAACAAAAAACAAACCAACTGCATTTAAAACTAAACTTTTCCACACGACAAAATACTGAGAAGGAATATAGAATGTTTTATGTTTTTATTTGACCAGTTGCATTTTTATTTTCTTGTTTTCTTTTTTTTCAGCCATTTTAGAGATCGTAAAGGCCATAAAGATTTGTCTGGCCAAAAAAAAAAAAAGCTAAGCCGCAAGTTGAGCCACAGTTATGAGTGCAATTTAAAATAATAATATTCCAAAATGTTTATTGTTTCATTTGTTGCACATCGTATATATCTATACTCCATATACGTATATACGAGACCCCACAATAGCATACTATGTAGTTATTATATATAGAAAACGCAGAAGATGAAAACAAACACAATCCAATTGAAAAGCCAGTTAGCTGCTGCAATACAAGTTGATTACTTTGTTGATTTTATGTGTGAGAGTTTTTTTTTCTTTTTCGCATTGCAAAGTCAGCCAAGTTAAGCAATTGAAATGGAACCGTAAGTACATAAACAGAAGAGAATACACTGCAACAAATCAAGTGCATGCATAAATCATAGAGTTTTCCAGGCAGAGTGCCCAAATTCCTAAAGCAAAAAAACAAAAAACAAAATAGTTTGATTTTATTTTACTTTTCCAAAAACTAAGCAACAACAAATAAATATATACAAAAGAAAACCTAAAGAAAACTGCAACAAGAGTTGACTATTGAAAAGTGCAAAGATTTTAACGTAATTGTTAAACCATACAGCGAAAACAAAATATTTAACAAATAAAAGTACATTAAATATTAAAATAATACTGCAATTAAATGCATTACTTGCTGTACTTGTTTGTTCAAGACAATTTTTAAAAGCACATTAACTGTTAAAAAAAAATTATATACAACTAAAATCCATATAAAGCAAAGCCGCACAGAAGATTGAGAGCGATGGAGACAATTTGATATTGATGCGACTTCTATTCAATATTTTGCAAAGACTTCATTTCGATGCTTCAAAAAAAAACAAATAATTAAATAAACAAAAACAAAACAAATGAATACATTAATAAATTAAACAGTACAGCAAAAAAAACACGTATTAAAACACTGCCAATTAAACAATATAATTTTCAAGAGACTTTTGAAATACAAATAAAATTCAACGAAAATATTTCTGTTATAAAATTAAACGAAATTGGCATTTTGCTCATTTTGCTGGCAACGTTAATTTGCTTTTTTCGGCAAGAGATTTAGTTCACACATTTTGACTATATAGATTTGCATTTATGTGTATGTATAGGCGTATATATTATTACATTTTATAATTACCAAGCACTTTCAGGCGATGCAGACGAAAAAAAGAAAGAAGGAAAAAGCAAAATAGTTACCAGAACGTACGATATTTTATATAAATAATAAAAACCAAAAACAAAAACAGACAGCACATCAGGAGAACAAGTTTTTTGGGAAGAGGGCAAAACAAAACAAAAAAAAAATAACATTATATATAATCATTTACACATATTTGTTATATATTTTGTAACGTAAGTTAGAAGGCATATACGAGTACATATACATACACACATGCATACATATAAATAACTAATGCACACACACAAACACAAGCACACACAGCTCTAGCATTCATATAACCCAAATACACACACACACATACACAATGCGAGGCATCATACTATTTGATAACTATGTATTTATAATGTATGCATTTTTTACCAACAAAAACAACAATAACTCTATAAACAAAAAAAGCGCATTCCCAATGAGTCAAATGAAATGGAAAACCAGAAAAGCAGAAAAACAGAAAAACCAAAAACCGATTTCAAATGCAGTTTTAGATAAATTTGCATATAAGTACATTATTATGTAAAATCACTTAAATATACAGTAAAAAAAAAATAAAATAAAAATAATAAAAGGAGAAAGAGAAAGAAAAAACGAGAAAATTAAAATTAAACAAATGGCAACTAGTATTAAAAAGAAAAAAACCAACAAAAATTTATGAATAAATTATGAGTAATATTACAAAATTACTAAACTGCAAAGCAAAACTAAAACGAATAAATTGCAAGTGCGCAGGAACAAAATGAAATGCGAATTCCCTTTGCAATTGGCAATTGCAAACTACATGAAAAAAGAGAAAAACAATTGACAAAAAAATGAAGAAAATTATGAAAATTGTGGGAAAATGTGTAAGCTGACAGCAAGCTGAGAGAGCATGGGAAAACTTAAGTTAAGGCAAATTATACACACACAGACACACACATTTACAAATACATACACACACTCACACACATTTATACAGACAAGAAAAAACAACAACTGCAATTATATTAAACGAAAATTATTATAAAAGCAACAAAACGCAAAAAAAAAAACAAGTGAAAAACAGAAAATAAAATAAAACAAAAAAAAAGAACTAAATAAAGAATCTGTAACGTTATATGGAAAACAAATTTTCAAGCGCATTTTTCCTCAAATTTTCAGCGGCTTAAGTTATGTGCACAGAAATGCAGGTTTCTTTGTTTCAGGAGTGCTATAGTCGACTAGATGATACCCTGAACCTTCAAATGCAGGGGGCGCTATAGCTAGAATATGAAAAATACTTGATCTGTATATAATTTTCTAAAAGCTACAAGTCATGTTTGTTGAGTCTGGCTCCTAAATTCCGAGAAAGCTTGAAAACTGGACAAGCTATCGATTTTTATCGGAAGCAAACTCGCACTGCGCTGGCACTAGGAGTAACTACGTTCCAAATTTCAAGTTTCTATCTTTTAAAGGTTCTCAGATCGATGGACTGACAGACGGACATGACTAGATCGACTCGACTGTTGATGCTGATCAAGAATATATACACTTTATGGGGTCGTAGATGCTTCTTCTGCCCGTTACATACATTTGCACATATACCCCTTTTTAACCATTTTTAATGGGTTCAGATGATAGAATTAGACAAATTATTGCATATGACACACAAAGCGTACAAAGTTGGGCGTATGCCGTGCTTTCTGTCGTGACACGACATTGTGCGGAACTATTACGCTCTAGAGAGCAGAGTGTGACTCTAACGTGACACGAGATGACATTTAACACGACATTATTTGCATTGTTCGCTTCTAAAAGTTCATGAATTCCAGCTTTCCGCATTACAGAGCTGCAAACTGTGCTCCTAAATTAACTTAAAGCCATATTTAATTTAAACACAAAAAACTTCACACAATCGGCGACTACTTGAAAAAGAAGCTGCTTAAAGTGCACTCAAAGAAAACAATAAAGAAAAGGAAATAGCAAACTAAATTTATTCACTTTGTACGCAATTTCATAAGCCAAAGCACTTAGGCAAAAAATGTCTAATATATTAGGAAAAACCAACAGCTACAAGAAATACTTGACAGCAGGGCAAAGATTGGGAGCATTTAACAACCTGCACTAAGCAGGCAAGCAAACAGGAGCTTGTCCAAAATGAAACAAGGAGCATAATCGGAACATGAACAAAGCTGCCTGCTCATAAAATTTGCTCTAGCCAAAATCAATACAATTTGCCACATGCCCCGAAGGGCGGACTAGGGCAATAGCTGGGATATATTTTCTTTCCCCCCCTCCCACTCCTTTTTTTTTTACTGCAAATGAGCAACGACAAAGTCCAGATAGTGCGTTGGGCGTTCGAAAATATTGGCAAGTTATTCGATAAGATATACGAGCGAAGGGATTCATAAATATGCGAGCAGGCAAAATATGAATAATAAACCAAAGAAGGTTCGAGAGCAGGTTGAAGCTGAGCAAATGGCTTAAAATAGATACAAACAAAAATTTAAAAAAAAAAAATAAGTAGTTGCCGCAAATTGTGGGCTTAAAAATTTGTTGTTGGCATATTATTCATTTGGCCGCGACGCATAACTTGTCGTATGCGCAATTTGTTAGCCGCCTTAAACAATTGCTCGAACGTGCCTGCAAGCACAACTGAATGGCATGCAAGAGAGACCAGGCTGGGGCGGGTTTGCGGACTTGGGAAACTGAAACGCGTAGACAAATGTTCAACAGGGAGCAATAATATTGTAAATTTGATGCTTCAATGGCGGCAAGAGACCGGAAGCGTTGCGTTTATTATATTTGTTTTGTGGCGGGATTTCACTACGCTTTACTTTTTTCATTCCCGCATAAAAATGCCAAAATGAAGTCGCACAGCACAAAAATCTTGCACAATAGCAACATTGTCGTCCTTACTTGGCAAATTTAAAAAAATAAAATAAAAT